CCCCAGCCTGGGTCCCTAGCCCCGCCACAGCCCATCTGCCCCATGCCCCGGGGGCTCTGCCAGCCCAGCTGCCGTGCGGGGCAAGGACAGCCCCTCCATGGGCTCCCGCGCCCCACATCCCAACGATGGCCCCTGGCTGGGGCGGCAACGGGCGCTGCAGAGCTTCGCTCTGGGAAACCAGAGCCGGGCGCTGCTGCCTGTGCACAGCCGGCAGCTTCTGGACCCTAACGTCAGGAGGAGAGAACCCCTCGGCTCAGCCCGCTGCTGGGCTCGATGCAGGAAAGCTATTGATGTGCACTGCGCTTGAATATAGCTGGCTAGGCGAGTTTTGGAGGTGTCTTACAGGAAGGATGCTAAGAATTGCTCAAGTTCTTTGCTTTGGGGACTTCTCTGGAGGCTCTGATTACGCTAACAGACTCAAGAGGCTCTCTCGTTTGGAGACAGAAACGAGAACGCACACATTCAGCTGGTCTATCCTGTTCCAAACCAGCTCTGCGCTGGTTGATTTGGTTGCGAATCATAAGCACGTCTCACTGAAACTGTCAATACAGGAAGTGCTTATCAATTCCTTTATGGCACAGGTAACGGCAGTTCGACGTACCTTTTGCTTCTGCTGAGAACAAACAACTCTCAGAACATTCTTGCACAACACACAAGTGTCAAAACAAGGTATCTCAGGTTTTACACACAAAGCAAAGCTACAATATACTACAGTATTTAATGCACACCAATAGGAAAAGTTCCTAAAAATACTCATGCAGATTTTGTGCCACGTAATGGCTATTTCGTAGAAATAGATCCAACTGGCTCCATTGGAGCAGCAGTATAAATATTCAAAATAGAAGTAATAATAGGCCCTGATGTGAACTTTTTTTTTTTCTTCCCCAAATCTGTCCCTTCTGTCAGCAAGGAAACACTCTGCTTGGGAGCGCCTGCATCTTGCTAGAGAGTACAGCTGTGTGTTTGTGGGGTGGGTTTTCGTGGGATGTGCCACATTGCTGCTAACATCGTCTGATTTAAGGAAGTATTTTAGGCATTTTAGTGGTTATTATTATGAATCTCATTAACAACAACATCAACAAAAAAAACACAACAGGAAGGTACAGCGGGCTTCCTAACGCAAGAGGACGTCCAGCGGGCATAGGAACGAGAAGGCGGCTCGGACAACAGGCTGCGTAGCTCCATGGGTCGCAACACGATTGTTCTCCAGAATGACAAATGACGACGCAGGCATGTCATTGACTCTGAGCTCCCTGTCCCTGGACCCCTCCTTCTTCCTGCCAGGGACCCACACGCACGCTTTGTCCCCCGAGGCCAGCGGTACATGGCTTTTTCCACTGAGCTTCCTCGAACACGCACAGGGCAACGGCTGCCAGTGCCTCCACACGTCCAGAGTAACAAAGACAGAAAATCAGGTGCTGAGCTGAATGGAAATCACAGGGCGGAAATATTTTGATTTACAACATTTTGCCCAAAGAAAATTTAACTAAAAAAATCACTTCCGAAAGTGCAAATGAAATAAAAATTGGCTTTCTGACTGTGAACAGGGCTCTCATTTGTCTTTTTTTTTTTTTCTGTTGTTGGAGGATTTTTTTTTTCATGCTACAGTTTAGGCTTTGGTGTTGTGGTTTAGGGTTTTTTTTTTCCCCTTTCTTTCTTTTACATAGGGTTTGCTGTGCCTTTACTACCAATATTTGCCACTGTTTGTACCATAGACAAAAACATTCACCTAGCTGGTAGTATCTTAGTACATTTCATAGTAGAACATATACAAGAAAGAAGAAAAAACATACCAAATGAATCAGAAGTGATCAGTGCTTAAAGTAAATACAAGAGCCAGCACTGTCAAGAATCCACAGTATCAATACATACAAATGAAGCTGTGATAGTGTTTCTCATGGGGTGGAATCTGCCTGCATATTAATACAGAATTATACAAAATCTAACAGGGATACTGGAACAATGAATAGCTAAACTTCCACAATAACTTAAGATCTGTGAGCGAGTCTGCATTGAAGATATTCCACATTTTAAAAAGTGCCATCTCTCTCTGTGCCTTCCTCCCTCCCAAAGGAGGGGCGATGAATCCACACGATCTGTTATCAGACAAGTTCAACTGCTTAAAAAGACAAATATCTGGCCAGGTCCAGTGTATTCTTTAAAGAGTGGCAAATTATGACTTCAGTAACTATGTCTGTGCAAAATATGCCTCTTTCCTTTTAAAGAAACCAGTGTCTGTAACTCGTTCCAACACGTACTTATGTTCTTCTCAGAACGAATAAGACATGAACTACTGAATCCCCCCAAAACAAGAAATCTGACGAAGCAGAGAAAGACCTTCCATTTCCACGTGCAGATCATTAAAAACCAGGACAGCTCCTCGGTAGCCCTCCCAGGCTGGCAATCAAACTATTGCTTGGAAATACCATAAACACTCTAGTAATAAAACTCCAACATTAGCAGTAAAATGGTAGCAGTGTTCACGCTTTGAATCCGTGTTTGCCTTGCATTCCTCACCACACCTGTACAAGATTCATTATTTACGGTAAAAAGTCATCGTCTGTTGCTTTGACAATCTTCTTTTAATACGCAGTAAATCCATTCATACACCAAGTACCTTGAATTGCATTCCCATATTACACTGCCCTGTGACCTTTGGATCCTTCCAGGAGATGCAGCGCTTGGAAGGAGAAGCTGCAAGAGAGGATGTTGATCTCTGGCAATTAAAAAAAAACACAAAAAAAACCCACAAAAAAGGATCAAAAAACCAAAACAAAACTAAAAAAGAACCCCAACAAACAAAAAACCAGCCAAAAATATTTGCATGATTCTCCTTGAAAATCAGCCCCTGTACGATGTACCCTCTTCTGCATTGTAGCAATAGTCTTAAGTCATAAATTAGATTAGTCTTCCATCAAATAACTTAAAAAAAGAAGGAATTGTAGCAGACCAGTTTTGCCTGGCTTGATGCCAGTTAGCAGCCGGTTTATCTTGAGTCCCAGTCACACTGTTCAAAAACTGAGCTAGGAAATCACATGAATGTTGAAAAAACTAATCTTCACATCGACACAGGATTTCTCTGGGTTGGGGGGGGTCAGGGAGAGGGCAGAGCGAGATGGGGCCACGGGTCCTATGAACAGTGAGCAGGAGACAGGTCACGACTCGGAGGTGCACCGCGTTGAGGAGATGCCAGCCGTGGTTTATATTGCACAGGTAAGAGGGAAGTTCCTCCCGAGAGTCTGCCACCTGCATTAGTGATCTCTGCACATTGGCAAGTTCACAAACGTGAAAACATTGAACTCTGTCATGATGGAGAAACAGAGGAAGATGCCGTAAAGGGAAAGGCACACACACCCTAGCTTCTTATCCAGTTTCCATTTGTTCATGTGGACGCCAAAAACCTACAATAAACACAGAGTAAGGCACCGCAGCAGCAACGTTGTGAATAAAGTGGTAAATCCCCCTTCTCCATTACAGAGGCACCAAAGCGACTGTCCCCTTACTGATTGTGGCCACCTGGAAGCAATCACAATGCAGGTGCTGCGACAAGTCAGCTGAAGTAAATCAGAGCAGCCCCCGTGCAGTCGTCGAAGCTGCGCTGACTTACATCACCTCCCGTCCCGGCCCAAGGGCCATTCCTGCAATGGATTTCGTTCTATCCCAGTTAATTCAATGAGAAATGTTTCAAAGGCCATATCCCTTTTTCTTCACCCAAAATGCCTCGTGTGCCCCTCTGCATCCCAACCTAGAGCCACCCCGTGTAAAGCTGTGCTTTCGTGTTGGCTTAGTGTGTTCCCTCTTCAAAGATCAAAGCCTGGTGTGTGAGGGAACCGCGCCGGTGTGCCGCGCACGGGGGGACTCCTGCAGCTGCTGGTCTCAGGGTTTGGAAGAGGTCCCACAAATCCTCTCTGTCATCTCTAGCCTGCTGTGCTGGACTCGGACAGGCCAGGGAGCGCGAGGCACCCATTTCAACAGAAACACTGTCGTACCCAGGCACTGTCTGTCCTGGTCTCTCCTGCATTTCAGAAACTCCTGCTGAGGGCTGAAGCAAACTGTGCAGTGCCCCGTCCGCCTGTCCCGCGGGGGAACGGACCTCGGCACACACCACGGGCTCTGCTTCAGCTCTAGCATGAATAGCTAACAATCACTAATGGACCTCCTGGGCTCCTCCCGTTAGAAACACACGGACACCAGAGCTATCTGGTGACAGCCACAGCTTCTGCCAAGTGCCGGGCTAAGGTCTCGGGAAGTTTACAAGGAGAGTGACCGTTCCCATCCCTTATCAACTGACTGCAACCACCCTCAGAGCTGGAGGTGAGAAAGGAACAGGTGAAGAAAACATCCATAAAAATCACTCTTTTGGAAATTAAGAACAAAAGACCGTATACATACTGTGACAAAAACAGATGCCAGCAGGAGACCAACAGAATAGATCAGTCCTCTGCTGTTTAACCGAATCTGTAAAAGAAGGAAGTTTATAAAACCATGTCACCATTTCAAGCAACAATATTTCTCTCTGCTGATAATTCTGTAATCCTGAACTGCTGAGTTGCTAAACACTGGCTTGCAAGCTGTAAATGCCAAGTCAGACCATTACATCGCAGATTATTTTGCCTACTCCCCATTGCTAAAGAAGAAGGAGTATTATTAGTGTCCTCAGGACCTGACAGCATTTCAAATTACTCCACTCCCACGTGGGCTTTGTCGTCCTTATACTGTTATCCCATTAAATTTTATTTTTGGCAGTTAATTCCCATGTGAGTCCTGTAAGAACAAACAGGGGAGAGGAAATTTTGCATTCAGTCACCAGTTCACAGCGGGGGAAAATAAACAGACACATACAAACACGTAATTTCTTCCCTACTCTTTCTCATCTTGGTGAAGGAAACAAGTCAGTACTCTCACAGCCTGAACCCCAGCTGCCGAAGATCATCAGTACCGACGCATCACAGCACCCTAGCACCGGCAGACCACTATTTAGCGCTGAGGCACATATGGCAATGAAACAACCCACTGCCTGCAGAGCTGTGCAGAGGTGCCATCGCTAAGGCACCCAGGCGCACCTCAGGCTCTGATGGAGACGTCTCCACGGCACAACTACATCCCCCGTGCAAGTGGAGAACCGAAATACAGGTCCTCAAAGCTGTGGAGCTCTTTAACTGCCATTTTTAGAGGCTTTGGAGTCTAGCCTAAGGCACTCACCTGCATCTTTAAGCCCTAAATAAATTTAAAAAACCTGATTCTATGTGACATAAACCTAAAGCTACATAGGAAGCCTACAGGGAGTAAAGCCACCTCTCTGATCCTGTCCTCAGCTAGGGTTGTGCTTCTCAGCTTTTCATTCTTCTCTTGGGGAGCTTAGTTATTGCCCATTTGGGTGCTTTTATATGATCTTCTCAAACAGTATCGCCTGCAGTCCTGTCAGGGTGGAGTCTCCCAAGGAGCTTCTGCAGGGGCTACCTGGTGAGGGGGATCTCTCCTCATGAAGCTGAGTTTCAACTGACAGTCACCAAAACCCGTTACTATTTAAAGTAGTAACCGACTACGTAGCTTTCCTGGCAGAGATCAATCTTAGCAAGAAATGATCTATTAGTATGTTTCAAGGATGCTTTAGAAAAGAACACTGCTAATGCTTGTCTAACAGACTTTGGGTTTGTGCAGTGCAGGCGTATCTTCAGCCACAACACTCTGCTGGGGTCAAACGGCAAACTAAATGCAGTGATCGTCCTTAAATGGGCTGGTAGCCAGTTCCTAATAGCTCAGTTTGTTCTGTGTTTGCACACAAGGACAAGAAAAACATTACTCCATTCCTGCAAACTATCTGCAGACAAGGAAACAGTTCCCAGGATGAAAGTTCACCCACATCATGCACAACATTTTTTTTCTAAGAGCTGGATCTATTTCTTGGGTTTTTTAAACTGTTTTTAGTCCAATAAACAATTCAAACTAAAATTTTATGCTACGATATTATTTTCTCAACTGTCAACACAAAATAATGGCACACAGTGTATCACCGGCCACTTCTCAGTGCTCGCATCCTTCTAGTGGGACTATAACGAAGCCCGTTTGCTAGAGAAGTAGGGTATTGCTAATTTGACGATAAGCAGCAGTACAATTTAATGAATGCAAGACTGCTGAGGCACTTGTACAATTTTGCATCACTGTCAGGAAAAACTTTCTCACCCAAATATTGCTCTGAAATCCAGAGTTACAACTTAGCTTCATTCCCCAAGGACAACTGAGTGGGAACTCTGACTTCCAGGGTCAAAGAAAGGATTATGGGTTCTGACATTTGGCAAACCCGAGCCTGCAATTAACTCCATACACTCAGGATTCTCTGTGCAAATCCATGTTGGAGACAAGACCAAGCATGCTGCAAAAAGACAGTCCTGGAAGGATCTCTCTCTTCTCCTGTACATGCTCAAGATTCAGCACAATGATGCATTGCTGCACTTCTGACAAACCGTGGTAAGCATGAACAGGTCTTGCACAGCTGCTGTACCCTGGAATTGTTACAGCATTTGCACTCACAAGCGTCCCACCACCTTGCAGAGCTCTGTTGCTGCCTGAGATTTGTTGCTGTCTTTATGTATGTTAAAATACCGGCTTACACAAATGGCACATTTTCCTTCTTAACCAATTTTTGCCACCATAAAAAAGGCTACAGCCATGATGATCACTTGTTCTTAAAGTTATTAAAGAATTTCTTCAAGACATATGCTGTGTGTGTATGAACAGTGGGACCAGGATTTTCCTATGGCCATCCCATGTAAAATGCAATATACTCACTGGACTGACTGTCCAAAGAAATGGAAGATTTGGATTGCTTCCGAGTGTGAAGGCCAATTTTGGGAGTGTCTGCATAACTGAAGGTGAAAAATGTAACAACCCCACTGTTAATGTAAGCTGCAGGCTGTAAGCGGCGGACAGGAGGAAGTGTATTTTTGCAGCTACAGAAGACATCTCTAAGGCCACGGCAGCTTCTGTTACCAGTCCTGAGCAAACCTCACAGTTTTGCTGAAACAAGAGCTGCTCTTGGGATGAAAGATGTCAGGTTCTGCTCCAAAAGACTTTTTTCTTTGATAGCTGACAGTGTATTTCCTGCTACACCAAGCAGCCAGGATGAGCTAATCTGGGGCTCTGCGCACACGACTGCTCCCTCTAGAGACAGACTGGTCCGCTGCGCCTCGCTCACTGCCATGCATCCAACTCCTCTTCTCCTGCTTCCACTAATCTGATCCATCCATATACCACAGCTAACCTGGATTTCCATTTTAGCTATTCTAAAACAAGAAAAAAAAGTAGACTAACTTTGTGTAACTAAAATACAAACTTAAAGCCACCTTCCCTGCTACCCCAAACGAGCAGCAGCTGGCTAGGAACGAAAGATACTATTTTATAATAAATTCCTGTCTGGATTTTGGTCAAGAATTCTGTTTGACCAGGGCCAATATCTGTAAAAACTGTCAGTATGAAATACATCAATCGGAAAGGAATCTACAGGAAAAGGAAGCAAATGAAGCAGCTGGAATTATTTTAGCATGGAAAATGTCTGAATTCAACCTAAAGCACAGACACTGCTTCTCAGTTCCATCATCAGCCTCCATAAAACCAGCAGACATTTGGAAAGAAGACTGTTCCAGAGGCCCCCGTGTCCAATTTGCTGAGGACAGTTCTTCCATAGAGAGGTGTTTGGGGCTGCTTTCTTTGGATGATCTGCAAGGCTCCTCTTCAGAGGTCATTCAGGGGAATAAAAGCTGCTCTTAAGGACTATTCGAAAGTAGAAAGTGTATGCTAATTATTTATGACAGGTTTATGACTGTAACAGCAACACGCGTCACGCTGGTCCCACACGGGCAAGGCAAACGTGGCAACCCCTTCAGTAGCACGAGCACCCATCTTCCCTTGCAGTGGTGTTGCATAAAACACCTGAGTTTCACTCCAGGTTAACAGTGCTCAACGCAGGCTTAACTAGCAACGCTCCTGGACTGGGATCTAACCCAGCTCCCACTGTCGGGCACAGCAATTAGCTATTAATTAACCTCAATAACAAGAACTTTCCTTTACAAGGCTTGACTGTTCCCATAGAAAGAAAGGATTTCCTGGGAGCGGTGAAAGGGTGTTTTCTAATGCAGTTTTCACTTTCCAGTGCTTTTTGCTCCGCAAAAAAACAGGACCATTTATTAGGGTCATTGCCTAACACCTCACTCTGCCACGGGACAGCAGGATTAAAACCCTTCCATGTACACAGCAAAGAATGGTCTCCTTGGGCAAGCACACGCTAGCTGTGGAATGCACTTGGTCAGGAAGCTCATTTGGCTGAGCTGGATACATATCACAGCCGGACTTTCTGGAAGAAAAAGTGCACCTCTTTGGGTAAAAAACCTTGTTGATGAGCTCAAAGCATTATAAAAGCTGTGCAGAATTCCAGATGTTTCCACTGTGGCTCAGGAGGCGAAGCATGCATGGCATCTCCCTTCCATGCCTCGGAGCAGGCAGAAAGGGGACAGAAGAGGACAAAGACAACAGGTGAGAAGGGCTGTAAAACAATGGGAAGCAAATGAAAAGCAACAGAAAGACAAGTGGAACAAACCAACACCGATGTAAGTCTGTTCTGAAAGCAGACTCGTGGGCCAGCTGGGAGATGGATTCCCTGGACGGGTGCTGGGTGTAATTCTGGATGCACTGGGCTTGCAGCGCACAGTCTGTGCAGTCACTCGATGTGCACACAAACAGTCCCATCAATTTGGCTTGCTGCCTGTGCACAGAGCAGCTCTGCACGGCATATGCAGGGGGTCCCGCTGCGTACGATGCATTGCTTTTCTGGCACACGCAGCAAGTCTGGCCTCAGTAGATTTTCGCACGTGTGGAGAATGGCATACGTTCAGTCACCGTGCCCAAGGTCTCTGGGTTATTTAAGACAGCCCTGGAGCAAGCTGATTATTCCAGTAAGAAACTCCCTCATAGCAGGTATAATTCCCGGTTAAGCCTGTTGCCCAGATACCTCTTACTGTAGAGGTTTCTTGGCATAACACAGTGTTCGAGGTTCTTGCAGACTCTATAGCTCACATTCAGAAGGGAATGAAAGCTGTCTGGGGTTGCTCAGGTCCAAAATGCAATGGCAGTCTGGTCTTTGAGGGATGTTATTTGCTAAATATTCTCACCCCAGCAAAGAAAGGTCTCCGTGGAGCTAGATGAAACTCACTGCTAAGCATTTGTGGGGGGCTGCAGCCTGAGGGTTTGGAGAGATGTTCTCCAGCAAACCCTGCACTGGTGGTGGAAGGGCTTTGCAGTGCCAGCCCAGCCAGCAGCAACCTCCCCGACTCACAGGTCACATTAGAGCACTCACCATTACCACAGCTGGGGGAGGCAGGCTTGAGCATACAGCCTACGCTATTCGGGATACGAGCCCACGTTCCCTTCTATCAAAACTGCCACTGGGCACTGAGGGATTTAAT